TGTCACATCATTGACGAAAGACTTCAATAAACAACCAACGTATGTGATCATAGGACATCATAGATGCTGTACAACTGTGTTGAAACTCTATACAGTGTCCTTCATCGATAGGTCTAATGCACTGGTTCTTCCCTAAACAATATATGATGTTATGTATTTGTGCTCAGAAATGTGTCTCATCAATGATAAAAGACTTCAATAAATAATCAACGTATCCGTACATTGAACGTCATAGATGATGTACAACTGTGTTGAAACCTTATTTAGCGTCTTCCTTCGGCTGGTCTACTGTTCTGGCTGGACTACTACTCTGGTATAATTCCACAAACGTTGTGCAATAGTGATATTCGAGAAGAATTTGTCTGCTACATATGTGAATTAAGTGCATCTACTGGCATTGTGATTCTGTATTGGCGTTTGCTTCTCATTCATACATAAGAGGCAAATTTTGTGGATAACAGTGGTGTGCCTGGAGCCGTACCATGGCAATAAGAATCACACAAGATATACCTGGAGCTATGCTAGCAGCAAGATTTATAAGGAAGAGCAAAGGCGTTGGACAACTAATTCTGGAAAATCGTTGACAGAGGACTATATTCTAATAAGATCTGTATAAGTCTCCTGGTCTGGATTGTGCAGGAGTTTCACTTCAGCAGAAAAAAAAAACTTTTATCTAGACTGACTATACTCCTCTTAGGGAATGGAAAAGAGGCAACCTCTGCTGAAACAGAATTGTCGCGTAAGATAACAAAACATATGTTCCTCATGTAACTATATGATGTTATGACTCTGTCACATTTCCAGCAACTTTTATGTTTTAAATTTATTTTTATCTATTAATACTTATTAATTGATTCGTTTTTTGAAACCGTGTTTTCGTATTTATTTACTATTGAACACAAGACTGTGTTATTATTAAAACACTTGGCGTTTATCCACTTTATTCAGTTGATACGGGCACTTTTACACGTTTCGGGCTTCATGCTGTATACTAAATACTTATTAATGTTTTGCACGCGTGTATAACCTTATATATATAATTGTACACGCGTTAATTAATTTTATTTACGTTATTAATTAGTTATTGAAATATTCAGTGTAAACTATGTAATTTCCTGTATATACCCGGTAATACTTAGTGGCACCGGGATATGCCATATGGCATATTGATCAATAAATATTTGTATCTGTATCTGTATCTGGGGTGTTGGAAATGACTTCCGAATCACCAACAAAACTGTCTTAGACAGAGTCCAACCGAAACTCTTAATGGAAGACCAGATAACCAAACAGAAACTGGCCATTTTTGGTCATATAATGAGACGCAGCTCCCTTGAGAAGGCGATGGTTAGCGAGAAAAGAGCACGAGACTGATCAAAGACTCGATAGCTCGATACAATTAAAAGTATCACTGAATTATCTATAACGGAATTGAAGGAAACTGTGCAGGATAGAGAGGCATGGAGAGCTTTGATGCATAGAGTGACCATGACTAAACGGATAAGAATAAGCATTATAATAGCATAATTATTAACGGTGATCGTTTGGCTTGGTTCCATTTATAATTTTTCTAATTTACTAAAATTAAAAATTTTTTAAACACGTTAAAATTTATAAAATTTTCAATTATTTTTTTAACCTCTACTGTTACTTTGAATTTGTAAAATAGCTCTATATTTCGATAGAATAGTTAAATATATATTTACCTATGTAATATAATTTTAATATATAAAACTCTTCCGGATATATAACAGAGACACTACAGTTTGAATTGATCTCAAACTATACTCAATTATACCGATTATTTATAGACAATAAACTTAATAATATTGTTATATAATATATTTACTGGATGTGATAAACACAATTCAAATAAATAATCACATCTATTTTATTTATTGGAATTTATTCAGACAATTAATTGGTATGTGATTTTATTCCGAAACTCAAATTTTTGAAGATGTAATAGCATTTGCATTATGAAAATCGTGTAATGAGAAGCATATTTCATTTACTTTTCCCATAACTTCATGATAACATTGCCTTGTCTCTTTTCTTTGATTCTTTCTTCCATTGTCTTTTCTTGTTCTAAAATAAAATAAAATAATCACCATTCAGATTTTCTTTTTTTACAGCATAAACGGTCGTATATAGTTTGCATGATGGTACGTTTTAGAAAAGTAATTTCATTTAATTAAATAAACTGTTTGAAGTAACTTTAGAAAATCACAAATATAATCACTTACCATCGGGGAAGTAATCTTGCATAAATTCATTTATTAAATTACAGTTTTGCTTGTTGAAATCATAGATTATCAAGTAAGACAGTTACGAATCATTGTCATCAGCACAAAATGTTCCCTCGAAGTAGTTTTTGACTTTAAGTTTCAGGCAACCCCAAAACCCCACTCTGCCTCTTTCAAATATTCTTCCGCATGCAGGTTCACCTAATTGTGAGAATTTATAAGTCAGAACCTTCTTCTATTCAGAATTATTATAGTAATGTACAGTACTTACTACGAATAATTAAAGATTTTAAACCGTATCCAGTTATTAGTATTATTAGACAGGCGACAGCGAATATCTCTTTGAAAGGCATTCTGAACGTTCTCTAGTTGTTAAAATGCAAGAATTTATCGTATACAATAGCTTTTATATTGTTTTAATCTTTACAATTAAATTGATTTTTCTAAACAATACGTTTACCTAACAATAATATTCTTTAACGTAATTAGTATCCGTAACAGAAAATACCTTAAATGTACTTTAACGCTTTAATTGGTCTTGTTTTTTTAAGATTGGGGTTTCGAGATATTTGTCATTATGGATAATGGGGTGGGGATACCCTTATTATATATTAAACTGCATTTACACATACACAAATCATGATTACGTTCTACATTTGGTTATGTTTATCGGGTCTAAGAGGCGAAAAAGATAGTGAATTTTAAAAATGTTGAGAGATAAGCATCCTTACCAAATATAGTACCAGTACATGGTGAGAATAATTAAAATTTACTTTCGATAATATTCATTGCTACATCCGAAGTAATTTTCTTCGAAAGAAAATCGTTTTCTTAGATAGTGTATAAATTTTCAAGATTTTCTGTAAAGCGGTTGCCAAAATATAAGCAATTGAAAAGTGCGAAAATAGCGAAAAGAAAATGTTTTGTTATTTTTCTTAATCCGGCACCACAGATGCTGCTAGAGAAGAAATTACTGTGTCTAATACGCTCAAACTGTAGACTTTAGCCTTCCTTCTTATCAGTGAGGTTCCGGCGAAACTTTCAGATAGATAGGTCACAGTTTACAGCGATTTCCCCTTAGAGATATTAAAGTATTTACGAAACTATTAAATTAAGAAGTGCCTCCTAATTTGGTATTTTTAGTTTTTACCGTTTCTGTATTATCGTTATTCACACATTCTAGTATCAAAGCCAGATTTCAAAGCCAAAGCCAGTTGTTTAATCCACGTAGCCTTGTTACACCGATCGGCGTGTAGCTATTTGTATTCGATATTAAGAATTTTCTTGTATATTCAGTTTATGGTCGGGGGCCGCTACTATTTTCATTTTCGTCTATTTGTTCAGTGTCATACTTGAATTGTCCAACTTTATCAATGTAATATTAAGAATGAGATTTCCTAATCCTCGGGTTCAAAATCAACCGTAATAAAAATTGCAGTCTTGAAATCAGAAGATAATCAGCATGAACAACTTTTGGAAGAGGAAAAACATCTCTCTCCAAATTAAATGCGGATTAGTTGGCGCGATTATTTCTCCTATTGTCATATACGGATGTGAAACTTGAAATCTAAAAAAAATGGACAGAAGGATAACAGATGCTTTCGAACTGAGGTGTTGGTAATGACTTCTGGATCACCAACAAAACTGTCTTAGACAGAGTCCAACCGAAACTCTCACCGGAAGTCCAGATAACCAAACAAAAACTGGCCATTTTGGTCATATAATGACAAGCAGCTCCCTTGAGAAGGCGATGGTTATCGAGGAAAGAGCACGAGACCGATCGAAGACTCGATAGCTCGACACAATCAAAAGTGTCACTGAATTATCTATAACGGAACTGAAGGAAACTGTGTAGGATAGAAAGGCATGGAGAGCTTTGATCCATAGAGTGACCATGACTAAACGGATAACAAGAAGAAGCATTATAATAGCTCAATTATTAACGGTGATCGTTTGGCTAGGTTCCATTTCTAATTTACAAAAATTAAAAATTTTTTAAACACGTTAGAATTTATAAAATTTTCAATTATTTTTTAACCTCTACTGTTACTTTGAATTTGTAATGAAGCTCTATATTTCGGAAGAATAGTTGAACATATATTTACCTATGTAATATAATTTTAATATATAAAATTCTTCCGGATATATAACAGAGACACTACAGTTTGAATTGATCTCAAACTATACTCAATTATACCGATTATTTATAGACAATAAACTTAATATTATTGTTATATAATATATTTACTGGATGTGATAAACACAATTCAAATAAATAATCACATCTATTTTATTTATTGGAATTTATTCAGACAATTAATTGGTATGTGATTTTATTCCGAAACTCAAATTTTTGAAGATGTAATAGCATTTGCATTATGAAAATCGTGTAATGAGAAGCATATTTCATTTACTTTTCCCATAACTTCATGATAACATTGCCTTGTCTCTTTTCTTTGATTCTTTCTTCCATTGTCTTTTCTTGTTCTAAAATAAAATAAAATAATCACCATTCAGATTTTCTTTTTTTACAGCATAAACGGTCGTATATAGTTTGCATGATGGTACGTTTTAGAAAAGTAATTTCATTTAATTAAATAAACTGTTTGAAGTAACTTTAGAAAATCACAAATATAATCACTTACCATCGGGGAAGTAATCTTGCATAAATTCATTTATTAAATTACAGTTTTGCTTGTTGAAATCATAGATTATCAAGTAAGACAGTTACGAATCATTGTCATCAGCACAAAATGTTCCCTCGAAGTAGTTTTTGACTTTAAGTTTCAGGCAACCCCAAAACCCCACTCTGCCTCTTTCAAATATTCTTCCGCATGCAGGTTCACCTAATTGTGAGAATTTATAAGTCAGAACCTTCTTCTATTCAGAATTATTATAGTAATGTACAGTACTTACTACGAATAATTAAAGATTTTAAACCGTATCCAGTTATTAGTATTATTAGACAGGCGACAGCGAATATCTCTTTGAAAGGCATTCTGAACGTTCTCTAGTTGTTAAAATGCAAGAATTTATCGTATACAATAGCTTTTATATTGTTTTAATCTTTACAATTAAATTGATTTTTCTAAACAATACGTTTACCTAACAATAATATTCTTTAACGTAATTAGTATCCGTAACAGAAAATACCTTAAATGTACTTTAACGCTTTAATTGGTCTTGTTTTTTTAAGATTGGGGTTTCGAGATATTTGTCATTATGGATAATGGGGTGGGGATACCCTTATTATATATTAAACTGCATTTACACATACACAAATCATGATTACGTTCTACATTTGGTTATGTTTATCGGGTCTAAGAGGCGAAAAAGATAGTGAATTTTAAAAATGTTGAGAGATAAGCATCCTTACCAAATATAGTACCAGTACATGGTGAGAATAATTAAAATTTACTTTCGATAATATTCATTGCTACATCCGAAGTAATTTTCTTCGAAAGAAAATCGTTTTCTTAGATAGTGTATAAATTTTCAAGATTTTCTGTAAAGCGGTTGCCAAAATATAAGCAATTGAAAAGTGCGAAAATAGCGAAAAGAAAATGTTTTGTTATTTTTCTTAATCCGGCACCACAGATGCTGCTAGAGAAGAAATTACTGTGTCTAATACGCTCAAACTGTAGACTTTAGCCTTCCTTCTTATCAGTGAGGTTCCGGCGAAACTTTCAGATAGATAGGTCACAGTTTACAGCGATTTCCCCTTAGAGATATTAAAGTATTTACGAAACTATTAAATTAAGAAGTGCCTCCTAATTTGGTATTTTTAGTTTTTACCGTTTCTGTATTATCGTTATTCACACATTCTAGTATCAAAGCCAGATTTCAAAGCCAAAGCCAGTTGTTTAATCCACGTAGCCTTGTTACACCGATCGGCGTGTAGCTATTTGTATTCGATATTAAGAATTTTCTTGTATATTCAGTTTATGGTCGGGGGCCGCTACTATTTTCATTTTCGTCTATTTGTTCAGTGTCATACTTGAATTGTCCAACTTTATCAATGTAATATTAAGAATGAGATTTCCTAATCCTCGGGTTCAAAATCAACCGTAATAAAAATTGCAGTCTTGAAATCAGAAGATAATCAGCATGAACAACTTTTGGAAGAGGAAAAACATCTCTCTCCAAATTAAATGCGGATTAGTTGGCGCGATTATTTCTCCTATTGTCATATACGGATGTGAAACTTGAAATCTAAAAAAAATGGACAGAAGGATAACAGATGCTTTCGAACTGAGGTGTTGGTAATGACTTCTGGATC